ACCATTAATTGCAAGGCTTACGCCAGGCACGGCGGTGTGAATGGTGGACGCGTCGGCAAGCGAGTGACAACAACCACCAACCCGGAAAACTGACTCCCACCAACAACATCATGGCCCGCGCCGAGCGCGGCCTCGACCGGATCTGCAGTCCACCTGCACCCCCAACTTGCGGAAGTCCCTCATCCGTCTCTGCATGCTCAACCACCGTTTGCCTTCAAGAATGTCAAGTGTAACAGAATGTTGCGAATCGTGCCACTGCATTGAAAACACGTCCAAACAGCACCGAAGCAGTGTGACGAGCAGCGTCCATCCCCATACTTTGTTTCAGCGTTACACCGCTCGGGACCAGACTACGCCATCATGCACACTTCGCTACTTACTCGAGTGCTAGCCTGCAATATATGTCGTGTTCAGAAAACACATGGTCGCCCTCGCATGGATACTGTAAGGCTCTCACGGCCCTCGTTTGCGTCCCACTGTTTGACGCCATCGTCTTCTAGAAACATTTTCTGATGCCCTGACCATGTGCGGGAGACGCGTTTCTAGAACAACCGCTGACGAACAGTACAGTGGTCGACGACCCTGGGCTGGGCCGGTTGAGTCAGTTCGGCAGTCGATCCGATGTGCATCCTTCCTTCGCAAACGGTATACTTATTCTTTTTAACGATCGGGATATTGCCGTCTGTGCGTGTTATCGTTCATGAGGAGTACTGCAGCTCAACACCCACAGAGCGGACCATTTGCTCTCTCTTCTTTAGGTCCAGACTCGCACCAAGAGTGAATAGCAGCTCCTTGATTCTGCCCTCCCACAATACTCCGATATGCCAATCCTGATCGACTCTAGCCTTCAGCACGCCGGATACATCGTCATCTGCAGAAGTTGTTGGGCGTTTCCAATCTGGACGCAACTTCTTGATCGCCCAATCTACGTCGGTTGTGCTGCGCAGACGCCAGAGTTCACACCCGAGCTGCAGCTCACTTTCATAGGAGTAGAAGTTGAAGTCGAAGCGGGAGGACAGGGCCAAGTTAGGGCCGGCCTTGACAGCATACGTGGAAGAGAGATTTCCCATCAACGGGTTGAGCGTGAGCGTCATGGTATACGGGAAGCCCGCATGGTTGGGTAGGGTGGCGAACCTCACCCCTGTGCTGATTCCCCCGCTCTTGTTGAGTATGCCATAGTACAGCTCAGCGCCTGCGCTGAAGCGACCATGCACAGGATCCACCTGCTCTGCAGCAACGGGTTCTGCGGGCGCAACTCTGGGGCCTGGACCAAAGTTGTAAAGACCCCGGACGCCCATCAACGCCGAGTCTGTGCTGTACATGTATTCCGTGCTGTATTTGCCGAAGTCATTTTGCAGTAGCGTCAGGATCGTCCCGCCGTTGTTGAGATTGGAGTCGCTCACGGCGGCGATCCTCAGCTGTCGCGTAGGAGTGAGGCGGCGGAGGTACAGGGCTTCGAGCCTCTGCTGTGGTAGGAATATGCGCCCATACAACAGGGTGTCTGTCTTGACTCAGCGGGGGTACGGGAAGGCAGTGTCATCCAGCTCACTCTTGCGGTCTATCCGGCGGCCAGCATGCCAAACCTCCCACGACCACTTCTCGTCCGGTCTCCGCAACTCTTGCACATGCTTGTAACCTCGTATCACGTTGTGGAGGTCGATGTGGGACGTCCTAAAGTCCTTCCGTAGTGGCAGCGACGAGTACAGGTAGGATACTGAGCCGTCGACTACCCCCACACTGCCTAGGGTGTACGAGGTTGCGAAATTGGGGGCCGCGAGAGAGGAGATTTGCATGCGCAGCCCACGGGGTATGTCAAAGTCGAGCAATGCTGTCATCTACAGTCAGTATCCAGTCTAGAACGCGACATCCAGTGTGACGTACCCCGTGCCGACGCGTTCAGTGCGCCATAGGAATTGTCGACGTTCCAGCCCGATGCCTCGTAGAATGCATGCTGCACACTATCCATGAAATCCAACATCGCTATGTTATCGATTGATCATCTCGAGCAGACTGGGGTGAGGTTGAGTGCGTAGACTTTGGAGAGCGCGAGAGCGACATCTGGATCCACAGCGGAGCAGCCGCGGTTGCACCAATCGGGGGTTCGCCAAAATCCCCGCTCAATTTTTTGGAAGTCGCGACCGCAACTTCGAACTTTTTCCTGAGCGCAACCACCAACCACAACACCCCCGAAATACCGCCACCATGCCCAAATCAAAGCGCCAGAAGGTCGTGCACCTTACCAAGACGGACAAGAAGGGCAAGGAGCTGTCTTTGAAGCTCTTTGCCAATGTCCAGGAAGCGGCGGATAACTTTGAGCACATCTTCGTCTTCGCCGTTGAGAACATGCGCAACTCGTACCTGAAGGAGGTCCGCCAGGAGTTCGCAGACAGCCGGTATGTCTGCGGGAGCGCTTTCATCCAATGCGCGCACGGCTAACGAATGCGCAGATTCTTCTTCGGAAAGACCAAAGTCATGGCGAAAGCGCTTGGCCTAAGCCCAGCAGAAGAGCACCTCTCGAACCTCTCCGAGCTCACCAAGCACCTCAACGGCAATGTCGGACTCTTTTTCACCAACCGCGAGCCCAGCGAAGTCATCGAGTACTTTGCCAACTACTCGCAAACCGACTTTGCGCGCGCCGGTGTTGTCGCTACACAGACCTTCACAGTACCCGCTGGTGTAGTTCACTCAAGAGGTGGAGAGATTCCTGAAGAGGAGGACGTGCCGCTGCCGCACAGCATGGAGACTACCATCAGGAAATGGGGCATGCCAACAAAGCTCGACAAGGGCAAGATCATTTTGGACGTGCCGTACACCATCGCGGAGGAGGGCAAGGTCATGAACAGTCATCAAACAGCGCTGTTGAAGATGTTCGGTGTGGCCATGGCAGACTTCAAGATCGATCTCAAGGCCTACTACACCAAGGCGACTGAGCAGGTTACAGAGGTTGGGGCTATGGAGGAGTAAGAACAAGCGCGATCAGCTTCGTTTAGTTGCATTATGACGGCGTTCCTTAGGCGTTCGGTTTGACCAGGGAAAAGTATGCTAGATGACTTTGACGGAAAGCTCGAGTCAACCCACGAGCACATCACAATATACCCTATTATGTTGGTCTTAAACTTCGCTAGACCTCTGCGCGACTGGCTTTCATGGCATACTGCATATATTTTTCAGTCGCCTGTTCTCTACTAAAAAGATATTAACCGCTGCTACAGCATCGCTAATCCAGCTAAAAGACCTCCCACAATAGCTCCAAATGTCTCAGGGTAGTTCGCAACACCTGCACCCGTCTCGGCCGGGACCGACGCACTTGCCGAAGTCTCATCCGCCGTAGGAGTCGCCGTGCGCGAAGTCCTGACCGATGTGGAAGAGTGTGTGGAAGAATGTGTCGAGGTATGGGAGGTTGTAGAGTTGCGCGACAGCGTTGAAGTCGAGAGCGTCGAGTTGGCCATAGCGCTGCTAGACATGGAGATCATGACTGTGCTGCCGGAAGGTGTGAGAGTCGGTAAGTTTGAAAGTACCGGAGCGGACTCGGTGACGGAGGGATAGACGATGGTGCTAGGGCCAAAGAAAGGCGCCGTGTCCGGGTCGAACATTGGGCCGGTATCTACATCGGATGCTTGATTAGAGTTGAGATTCCAGGCATACTACATGCAAAACTATTGCCGTCGACCAAACTTACAGCTTGAGGTTGAGGCATCTTGCGCAAGCGCGGCGACCACCAGGCCAAACAAGGCAACGACCACCTTCATACTTTCTTTCTTGCTACCCAACTTGTCGCGTTGTGATGCACTAGTAACGGCAGTCGGCAGTCGTGAAACTCAATAGTGATGCTGGCGGAACCTCGAACGTGTAGTGACGAAGATAATAAAAATGTATTAGGAAAGAGCGAAAGAGTCAAAAGTAAGGATCGACCGACGACTACGACCGCGATGGAAAGTGAAGCCCAGCACGCGCGCGCATCACGTAGGACCAGAAAACTGGTTCTCAGGGACTTTTAATCCCCATTCACTACTACCCTGCCCCGTCAGCCTGTTCTGGCCCTCTGCCCCTAAAGAGAAGGATCTCGTAAAGAACAAGCATATCAATACTATCCCGCAACCCGCCCAATGATGGCCGCCCAGTCAGCGTGCCCAGAGGTCTGGTCATCTCCGTGGGGCTAGACGTGTTTCGGATGGGGGCTCGTGTTCTCGTGTCTACATGGCTGCGAGCCCGAAAGTTAGTGGCGCCTAGTCCTATTGCCGCGAGACTGGCGCGGTGAATCTATGGATTGGATTTGGGCAGGCTAGAGGGTAGAAAGCGAGCAGCTGATGCGCGCGATGGCGGCTTGCTTTTTTGGGTGATGTCGATGGATGGCTTTGTGAATGGATACTAGTGAGCGTTGGAGGCGCGCGTGAGTGGAGATACCCCACATGGCGCCCCTGATGGCTTGGCAGGTACAAGCGGGCAGGCAAGCGATGTGAGGACGCGTGCATGACGTGCTTCTTTTCCTGAGCCTGCAGCACCACCGCGGAGCCTGAGACCGCTATCACACAACTGACTCTGCTATACGAAATGACCCCGCGGATCGTTAGGTCTGGATTCGGTTCACAAATACAATAGGCCTTGCATGGCCACTGCGGCTGCGGTGTCAAGCAAACTGGACGAAAGCAACCGCGAAGAACGACAAAGGAAGATGTCTCTTCGACTACGGCTGGATCGCGTTTCGAGCTGATCATTGCGTTTGTACCCTCTTATATGACAGCAACGGAAATGTACCCGTGTTATGAGACACATCTCCAATGCAACCTTCTGGCGCGTTAATCGCCGAGTTTGTCTAGGAGCATATATCTCAGATCATCTCGGTTTGCTTGTCTGCCCTGAGATCTCAACACCTGACATCAGACTCAACTCAGAGAGGTCTGAGGTGCATATCACGATGTCTCAACTTCAGGCGTATTTAAAGTGCCAGGTCAGCTTATCCGAATCGCAGAAATCATTCGGACACAACGACCATCGCAAGCATGTCGCGGATAGAGATCACTTCAGACCCCAACCTTGTGGTCAGCGGCCGAGGCATGATTGCAAGGCAACAAATCGAGCGAGGCACCCTTATTCATACAGAACTGCCTCTCATTATGGTAAAAGTCGAGCGAAGCAAGGCCACGACAGGCGGTGCTTTGCACCAGTTCTATCAGTCCCAGGAACATCCCAATAGCAGAGTGCTCATAGATGCTGTCAACGCGCTCTCAGCACCGGAAATAATTGCGTTTGGCAACCTGGCTGGATCAGCGCCCATTGCAGGTGCTCCACCCCTTACCCAAAGGCAGGACATCGTAGCACGCTTCAGGCACAACGCGTGGGGTATTAAGGGGGAAAATACGTACCTCGTGGTCTATGACATGCTCAGCTCACTCAATCATTCCTGCGTGCCCAACGCGGTTGTGGATATCTGGAACGGAGACCCTAACGGCGACATAACAGCACCACTAGGTCAAGGTAGACTCATTGCAACGAGACCTATACCGGAAGGCAGCGAGATCTTTCTGAGCTACTATACTGACCAGCGGTTCAACGATCACACAGTCCGGATCCCCCTTCTACAAGCCGACTACGGTTTCTTGTGTACATGTAGCGGATGCCATCCCGATAGTGCAGCAATCGATGCGGCTGAGCATGCAGCGGCTAAACAATACCATGAGATTCTGGCAACGGACCCTCCGCTAACCACGCCAGAAATCCGTCGCCGCATCGAGAGGATGGAAGTGTACATCCATCTGTTGCAGCACCTGGGCGTATGGGATGCGGAAGTTTCGGAAGCGTAAGTCGTTTCATCCACCACGTAGCGTACAACTACTAACGAAGATAACAGGTGCTGCGAATTGGCGCGTCTACACATCAGTCAGTCGGACTACCGGAAAGCCATGTCGGCAGCAGCCACTGGATTGAACGTTCAAAAGTACTTATACAGTGACGAAGGCGCCGTGGCTTTGAAGCAGGAGCTAGGGGCCGAATCGGCCAAGTGTCAGGTCAATGATTCGTCGCTTATTCATCACATCACCGGTACTGGTAGTAACTATCCCTTGTATTAGGCGCTTTCATTCCAATGGATCCTGTCTAGTTGCACGTTCCTGTATCTCTTATCATCGCATCTACAAATGTACTGTTTATCGTTGACTTTAAACTACCTATCAAACTAGTGTCGTCCGATTTTGCACAACTTCTGTTCTCCAACGTCCTATGCCTCCACATGCGTATCTGCAACTGCCATGGTGTTGCCTCTACATGATATGCAATATCCGCGTGCTCTGTCCGCATGTTTCTCGTACATTCATGTGACTGGCCAGTTCTGCCGCAATCACTAGTCTCTTTGTTATGTCACCCTCCAGACTCTTGTTTGGACAAACTGAAGCCGCAACACGTCTCAACTCACAGCATATAAGCTTTGAACTATCGGCCCCCAAGCGACTTTCCTCATCGACTTCACCAATTAACTCTCTGGAAAGAAGTCAGACTCCAAGATAGACATGGCACCAACTTATCCCCAGGTAGAAGTCACTGATGACGACGTCACCGTGGGAAATGGCCTTATAGCACAGCAGAAGTTTCAAAAGGGTGCTCTGATCCTCGAACAAGACCCAATCCTGCTATGCAACACACGAAAGCCGTTCGAGACATGGGATAGAGAGGCCAACATCTTCTACGACGAAGAGGCTGCGGGGACTACGGCAATCTTAGCGACCGCGTACTCAAAGCTAAGCTGGGAAGATCAAGGAGCCTTCCGCGAGCTCTATACTTCAAAAACCAGGGGTACAGACGTCGAGCACATCGTAGATCGTTGTCGATATAACGCTTTCAGGTACCGCTTAGGCACTGATGCGGACGCTACCACTCGCATGGCTGTGTATCGCACGATCTCCTTTGCGAACCATTCCTGCATCCCCAACGCGGTAGTCTACATCAACAAAAGCAACTCATATCCGCGTGGCCAAGCCCGACTGGTCGCTACACGCGATATACCCTCTGGTGACGAGATCTTGATCAACTACATCCCGGAGGCTTGGCAAGAAGGCAGGGCCACTCGCCAAGCAAAGCTGATGCTAGGCTGGGGCTTCGACTGCTGTTGCGAAGCATGCGGGGATGACGATCTTGAGCCAGACACGTCAGAGCGAACTTTGTGTAGATGGTATGATACGTGGCAGGATGGCATAATCGCCGCCAGGTTCCGCATCCACATTGCCATACTGCACGAGCTGGGTATACGTGACAAGGCGCTTTCCTCAGCGTAAGTGTTTGGGCCGATCATGCTTTCAACGTCATGCTAATTGGTACCATGCAGATTCCTCCAGCTTAGGCACCGTCACTTTGGGGTAAAGGAGTACAAAGAAGCAGTGCGTGCCGCTCTAAGTGGTTTGCTCGTTGAGCAGCACTTCTATCAGAAAGTACACAACGACCAGCTACTCAGCTTGTACTCGGACTGTGCTCTCAAGGATAACAGCATGCATCCGGAGCATCAATAAAGCTAAGAAAGGCACTGAAGCCTTTCCAGCTTGATGTACGAGGGCGAATAGTAGACTTGGTCATTCAGTGCCAAATTGTCATGCTGAAGAGAATGTAACCAATGCGGGTATGCGATATAGATTGAGATAGTATATCCAAAATGCCTACCCAAAACCGATAGACTGATGACGCTGTGATGTTGTGCCCTATACCAAGAAAGTCCCACGCGAAGAGTTGAGTAGAAGCCGCACATCTGCCAGAACGTATCGCCGAAAGCCTGACATACTTATAAGAAAGACAAAATTATCGAAAAGAGAAGCGAGAAACGAAAGAACATGCGTATCACCTAATACCCACCATAACCTCCACGTCGCCCACTCAACGGCACCCTAGCATGCCACTCATCATCTTCATACTGGAAAGCTGAGTCCCTCCTACCCATCATGTTCGAGCGTCTGGCAGATCGCTCTTTCTTGTCCTGGATGTGCTCAAGAGCCGCGTGGATGTCATTGAGTGCGTATCGCGCATCCAATTCGTCTTGGTCTCCAATCGCGCGTGGTTGAGGGTAGCTGTAGCCTTGCTCATGCCTATCCGCGAGGTATGATGAGGCGCGCACTGGCTTGGGCGGGAAGTGTGATTGCGCAAAAGGATTGTGGATATTGGGTGGGTTGGCCAGGGTTGCGCGGCGATTTGGTAGGCTTGGCCGAGTAGTGTGGACTGGGTAGTCGTCGAAGTACGACTCAGGCTCGTGCATGTGCGTGCGTGGGCTGCGGGGTTGTGGGTAGTCGTCCACTGTCTCCTTGTTGTATCTGACCTTCTGTACCCGACGGTGGTCAAAATCTTCGTCGTAGATGTGGCTGGGGTGCGGCTGGCCGAACATGTTGGGTGACTTTCTTCCGTAAGAGACCTTCTGGCGACGAGGAACGTGCGTGAAAGAAGGACGGCGGCGTATAGGAGTGTCAAAGATACCATCATCTGCTGTGTGGACAGATGTAGTGTTCATAGACTCCGTGCCGCTTCCACGCTCTGACGACGAGTTGGAGGTCTCTCTAGCCATGCCGTGCGAGGAGTAGTACTTTCCAGATCTCTTCTTCTTGTCGTTAGAGAGGCCAACTGGTGAGGCATTGCCGGAACGTGTTCGGTCTTCCACAATATTGTTGGTGCTCAAGTGGATATGAACAGGCGGCACTTTGTTGTGAGAAGATCGAGAAGAGTCCGTAGTGAAGGACTCTGGGCTATGCCTACCATTGCGTTGATCATCGATTATGTCTGAAGCGCGGTGTCGACGGGTAGTCTTTGCAATATATGGATCGACGTTGTTCTTGCGGGCACGGCTTCGGCTACGACTACGGCTGAGGGCTCTGGCTTTGCTGAGTGATCGATGTCTCTGAGTCTTCTTCGATCTCTTCCCGGGCCGCTGACGTCCTCGTCCACGTCGATCAACATCTATATGGTCATGTTCAATGTTGACAAAGCTGGAATCTTCCGACTCAGACTCCCAGGAGTCACTGTCGGACGATGAGCCAGAAACATCGCGACGAACTCTGTGGTGTTTCTTCTGATGTCTGAGGTGATCAGGATTCAGGCCCTGGACGTGCCTCATGCCAACTGGAGGCATATGCATCTGGTCCGGAAACGTACCAGGCATTGGCATTTGGCCAAAGGGCTGGCCATGGGGTTGGCCAGGAGGAGGCGGAAGATGCTGCAATGGCACGCCCGGCATGTGTTGGCCTGGTCCAACATTCGGTGGGGGTGGTGGACGACCCATCTCGTGTGGTGCAGACATGCCCGGAGGCGGCGGTGGTGGAGGAGGGCCTCCAGGAGGACCTGCCATTGGGTTCATGTGGCCCGGGTTTGGAGGATGCTGTCCGAAGTTTTGCGCGCCAGGGTGTTGCGATTGCTGCTGTTGGGGAGGTCTTTGTTGCTGTGGCATGTTTTGACCGGGGTTGCTAGAGGGGTTCGGGAACTGTTGACCTTGCGCGATTCCTGGTTGCTTGTTCTTGTTTGCATCTTGGGGTCCATTGCCCGCACCTCCGACGACAGGTCTCGCTTGCATAGGCTCTTGAAACCCAGAAGGTTCAGTCTCCAGAATGATGTCTACACGCACCAGCTGCCTTTCTCGACGGTTGACCGAGCGCCATTTGTTTACAACGCTTGCAATTCTGTATTGGATGGTTCTATTGTATCTCGCAAGCTCAACGTTTTGGTCCTCAACGAGCTCGTTGATGATTCGGCGACAGTTTGGGGAAGGGATCTCGTTCAACGCCTTCTTGACGTTATTGTGGTTTCGACGAAACTTGTGCAGTTCGCTGTGGAGTTCCTGGAGTGCGACGTGTTGTTGCTCAGGTGTGGCATCCTCCCAGGAAGTGGCGTTCCTTGGCTTCTCTAAGATGAAGGAAGCCAATTGGGGATCGTAGTTGGCGTATGGGTTTAGAGGTTGCTGTTGGGGCTGAGCTGGCCTTTGCTGGGTCTGTCCAAAGTTCTGCTGTTGTCCAGAGCTCTGCTGCTGCCCATTCGGGACTTGTCGTTGTTGGCTGACATTCTGATGTTGATGGGGCACTTGACCCTGGTACTGTCCCTGCTGTGGAGTCGCCATTGAATGATTCGTAGAGGTTATGGGAGGGATATCTTGAACGAAGGAAGTATAGCCGATGGCTAGATGCTCAAGTGACGGAAGACTTGATGCCGATGATCGAAACAGGCAGAGCAATGTGATGAAGACACGGGAAGTGAATGACAGGGCGAACTAGAAAGTCTAAGGCAGAAACAGGAGGACGTTGACCGAAGATATAGATTGGGAAATTTCTTGTCATACTGCAAGATAGTAGCTCTTGATCTTTGCCCGGAGCAGTAGTAGCACTTTGTTGATGCAAGCGAGGTTGTGGTCCTTCTAGGAGTACAGCAGCCACATCCAGTCGTTTCCCCGGGGGGTCTACATGAAACAAGCGTTAATTGGTCGTATCGAAGGGCACTCGCAAGCCCCACTTGAGGGTGATATCAAGGCTCTCACCGGTCTAAGCCACCAGGCTGAGGGGGACAAACAGGCAAATAACCCCGCCCTCTGGCGTGAACGCGCAGCATGGCTTCGTTGCTACACGTCTTGAGGCTCAACTTTGACCGGACCAGTTAAAGATCGTATAAAATATGCATGAGCCATGCGCATGCATATTTGAGGACTCATAGCGGCTGCCTGTTGTTGCATGCAGCCTGATGGTGGTGGTGTTTGGATAAGGTCGCATGTGCATTACAGCTGCAATCGTTGGGGTTCGCCGCGAATGATCGATGCGATTGTTGCTTCTTTAGCCTGCCCTCCGTGGAGCTGAATACATGAAGCCGTCGAAGTGTGAGAAATGTTCACGGTGCCAGTGCAGAAGAAGCGATCATTGATTGACCACGCTAACGGGGCGTCATGACCCCGCTTTTGATCCGTGCACGGCTCAACACCCCCTTTCGCCGCGAGCCCAGGAGCCAGCCAAAAGAAGGCAACTGACCACTACAAGCCACCATCGCAAGGTGCACGGGAAAGATGAGGACCCTTTCTTTGAGTAACGAGTATCGATGGCTGAGACTGTTGACGTCCAACCCGCCTGCTTGCCCAGGTGCCCTTCGTTCCGCTCGGTCAACGCTTCCAATCACCATCCACGAGTCGAGGTAAGAACCCGCTGGTTGCACCGAAGTCTTTCAGTCACTGGTAGTTGTACCTGGTGATGCGCATGTAGACCCCTTATCTGTGTCTGCACTTATACCACTCAGCCCCGCTTGCATCACTGCTGGGCGTGTCGTATGTCAAACATTCTGGTGCATCGCCCTTTGGTGTATCGCAGTGCGATTCGATCTTTCCAGCCGATGTTAATTCGCCTACACTCCAACATGGACTCCAGACCGTTCTTCGGTGCGGCTCAGCGCGCGTTCGCGCAGCGTCGATCTACTACTGCACATCGCGTTGCTGTCAACCTGTTTACTGCAGTTCGACGCCCTTCCATGCACCTCGTGCCGCCCTCCAATCTTCAGCTCTATATCCAACCAATGTCCTTCTTGCCGGAAGCTCGCGGATTTGATCGCTTTTGGAGGCCTATCGAACACACCGGATCCACCGCGCATGACATGCATATACGCGGCTGGATGACATCTTTGACACGCAGCCTTATGCACGTTTGGGTTGCAACACCACAACCGTGTTCCAGAATCGGTTCTAATAGGTGAGAGCGACTGCAGCTCTTACGAGTAGCCGCGATAGATATACAACATCGTTACACTTCCTGATCTTCGCTCACCGGACGCAGACACGCCCTCCCTCATGCACTTCTATCATGAAGATCCTCCATATCAGTCTCGGACCGGATATGTCGGCTTGAACCATCTCTTTCGCGTTTTGAGGAGCATGACCAAGTCTCCGGCCCGAGCAAGTAGTCACACAAGTGCGTTCTACCGAGAAATCATGCGCCCACAAACAGCCACCTGGGGCAAGGATGAAATCCTGCACCAGACTTGATACCGATCAACAGATTGAAGCGCGCCGGAAGCACGAATATCATGATCGGTACTTAGTTACTCTCCGAGCCACACGGCACTTGAGAGAGGCTCGGCATCTTGTTGGTACGATCTGCGGGTACGTACATATCTGAGACACGGGCGAGCATCACGGCTTGCCTACCCACCCCGCACGAACGCAGCATTCCGCCGACTCGGTATCGTTGCCTTGACCGTCAGATTGATCCTTCGACAGCCAAGCTCTTACATCCGGCAGGCCGCGGCAGAGGCAAGATGGCGTGGCATTACAGGACGATCTTAATCACGCTTCCGGTTACACACTCCGAAGCAGTGACTGACAGCTTGCGATCAACACTAGACGATCCGATGAGAGCATGTTGGGATGACCTTCCAGCAGCCAGAGACAGGTTTCTTGATAAGTTGATCCGTCGGACGACATGCAATGCATGCGCGGGGGTGTGTCACATAATCAGCGTCGCAGAGCCTCAGAAAGTTACGATGGCAGCCTGGTTCGTTCACGTGTCGCCAACAACTGCCTGCCTCACTCGCAAATCATGCATGAAGGGTACTGAAGGACCACGAGCGAGGAGGATACGGATATTTCTCGCCTCAGAACGGGGTCTTCGAACACGATGCATACTGGATAAAGTGCGCGCCCGATACGTAACGACAAGCATGACCGGCTTATGGCCCTAGTCTTGCCTTCTATCCTGCCACAGGCAAATTCACATGCGTGCCTTGCCGCTTGAACCTAAGCGTTCGAGCGCCCCACCTTTCTTTGGCTTCGTCTAGTTCGAAAACGTCCTCCCAAGGCTCGCCGATATCGACTTCATCCTGCTGGGACACGTTCTTCCAGGCGTCGTCAACATCCGACGCAGTGCTGACGATTTTGATACCCATCTCCTCCGCAATTTTTCTGACATCTTCGGCAGCCTGCTCCGCGCTTTCGTATTCGCTCTTCCAGGCTTTGAGCAAGACACTTCCAAGTCTAGCCTCCTCTAACACTTGGAGCTGATCACACCAATCTTCTCCTGGCTTTGACGGGCCGCCTTCAGGCGCAGAGAACGGGTCCCAATCTATGCCCCGTTTCCAGTGCGCTTCGGCCGTCTGAGTATTCGTCATGAGTTCCCAGACAAAGGTCGCCCAGTAGAACCTTTATCGCGATCACATAGTTAGCGACCCGTTGTAAATGTCTTGACGAATATGAGGGTAATGATACTCACAAAAACTCACGATGGCTTCCACACTGTTCAGGGGGCTCAGTGGAATACTCTTCGTAGTGTATCGCGCCACCATCTCCTACCCATTCACCGGTATCCCAAGGGTAGGAGAAGAGTTCTGGTATTTCTTCGCTCTCGTCGTCGCTCTCTTCCTCACTTCCATACTCAGGACATACTGAGATAGGAGCCCCGGCATCATGCCATTCCTGGTATCTTCGCTCTCGTCTCTCGCTCCGCTTCGCCTCGTTCCAAGCGTCTCGCCTACTATCAGCATCAAGCTCTGGCCCGTCGACGTTGATAAATCCCGCAATAGCAAGGGAATAGTCAGAGCGCAGCCATACATTAGTAGACGAGAAGAACGTCAGGTATACAGAGCGAGAGTGGAAGTAGGCAATGGCAGACAGCGATTGCAATGCCCATCGGTAATATAAAGCCAGCATGATGCGGTCCTCTCTCGAAGGCTCTTCGGGAAAAGGCAAAGTCATGGCAGGAAGATCACCCCAGTGTGGTCCTGGTGTTAATCTTTCGACAACCACCCCGTTGCCGGCGTCGCTGTTCACAAGGCCGGTACGCCTACCATACCGTTAACGTCAACACAGCACTAACCCCTCGCTGCACATACCGAACGATCCGTGGATGACCCTCTCCAAGAAGCTCATAAGCTTTCCGTAGCCGCTTGCTCGCCCACTCTGGTCTTACCCTTGGATCCGGATGGCCCGTCTCCTTAGGTTCGTAAAGGATGATGCTTTTCCCATCTTTGTGAGGAACGGCACAGACATGTTGCCAGAAATCACAGTACCAGTTCCTCGTGTCTCCTGGCTCTGTGCTGGCTTCGAGGGGCGTAGGAGTACGGTAGACACGGTTGAGCGACATAGTGTGTCTTCCAACCGCACGCTCTTCATCTTCAGGCTGTGGCCCATTGAGGAATGAAATCGCCGAACCCATTGGACAGCACGAGAAAAGATGCTGGAAGCTCTAAATCGCGATACATTGAGTACTATATACACCGACCCAGGTGTTGCCGATTAAGGCAAGCGCCATCCCGCCTCGCGGACCGTGCCAATGGTGCCTGCTTGGCACATATAAAACCAACAAGCTTGTCCTAATTAGATCAAACTTTGAAACCCAGCTTCCCGTCCTTGAACTCGAACACATCTTCCCACTTTTCCCCGATGTCAACCTCATCGCCAGAAATGGTTATGCCCATTTCAGCTGCTGCCAACTCAACGTCACGCACGACCTCATCCACGGTACTATACTGTTCATTCCAAGCACCGAACAGGACATGTCCCAGTCTAGCTCTCTCTAGCTGCTGGAAAATCTTGCGCCGTTCTCTCTCACGCATGATCTCGGACAAATCTGGCGCATCTTCAATCGTGTGGCCTCCTTCCATAGGATACGTAGGTTCCCATAGTCCACCACGAGGCCCACGACGCGATGGCGATATAGCAGTGAAGTCGTTCGTCATAAGCCGCCAGACGAAAGTGGCCCAATAGAAGCTAAAGTGCGGGTGTACGGTTAGTCCTGTTATGTGCGTGGAATATGGTTCGCCAATACTCACAGGTCTGCCTTTACATTTCCTGATGAAACTCCGTGCTCGGGAGTGTCATCAAAAGGACCATCATATATCATGTCATCTCCTACCCACTCACCGTCGCTCCAGTTATAGTCCGATGCCATGTTATCCGGATCACATGGTTCTGGTAAACCGGACTCTTGTCGTATTGCTTTCGAACATTCGGCAGCATCTTTCCAGAACTCGTCCTCGATCTCTGTTGCAGTGGCGCTGATGAATCCACCCACTGCGAGCGAGAAGTCCGGGCGTATCCACACGAGTTGCGATGAGAAGAACCCAATGACCATGGATCTAGCATGCATGAACCGGAAGGCGGAGAGTGCCTGTATCGCCCATCGGTAATACAGCGATAGCATGATCTTATCGTCGTGCGACATCGTTTGCGCTACCACAGGCACTGTCATCGCAGGCACTTCAACCCTCTTGAGTTGGCCTGGTACCAGCTTCTCAACGACTACACCATCACCCGAAGTGCTGTATAGCGCACCGATATACCTAAAAGATTGAGCGCGGCCAAATACACCAGCAGAGTCCTACGTACCGAACAATCCGTGGGTGTGGTCCACCGAGGAGCTCGTACGCCTTTCGCAAGCGCTTGATGGGCCAGCCATGCCTCGATCTGGGGTCTGGATATTCGCCGTTGTCTTCATCGCAGATGGGGGTGAATATGATGACTTTGTCTGTGTCTTGGTGTTGTACGCAGTCCGCAGCCTCAAACAAGCTCTCGTACCAAATGGTGGGATTCGCTTCGGCAGGGACAAGCTGGCCGTTACGCACATACGGGTATCGATTCGGGCCATCATAAGGACGCTCTGGCTTCGAAGACTCGGGTGAGTTGGTTGATGAAAATATGGAGCCCATGACAGTTTGCTGGTGATGGAGTTGTTAGAGTCTGCGCTATGAGAATGCTGGTAAAAGTTATGGGTCTAGCAACCAGATATATGCGGTTTCAATGGGAACACTCGCGTCCCCAACATTGCGAGTAAACTGTAGTCGTGTAAATTGCGATGCATCATAGGTTAGTCTGGGGTGGCACGACAGCGACGCGGGAAGAAGGGGCGACCCGAAAGAGAAGGATCTGCGCTTAGTACAGAGATACCTGCTTGGCACATATAAAACCAACAAAGACCACTAGGCACCCGCTCAAGCCATTGTAACAGAATTACTCATGCTACAAAGTATGGAAAGAAGCAGGACTGGATTTGATGTGATGAGAAAAAATTCTCAATCACCTCGCCGGCCCCTCCAACGTATTCCGTCGACTAGGCATCCTCGGATCCCTCTTCCCCATCGTAACTTCAAGAGCCTGGATCAGAGCAGTTCCATCATACCTAACAAAGTTCTCGCCCTCATGCTTCTTCCCATACACGCGAATGGGTTCAATACCAATACTCTTAAGCTCGTCTCGATCGACTGCCGGCGTCCCTGGCCCTTGGAGATGGATGATGTGCGTGACATACTTCTTGTATTGGCTTTTATCCAGAGGACCAAATACGCTTTTGGAATCCTCGCATGCCTTGGCGATAGCGGCTATGAAGTCAAGGGCGGAGTAGGGGTTAGATGACGGCCCGGTCTCGCGATCGATGGTCGAATTGAGGATGAGAATTTTGTAGCGGATTGCGGGGTTGCTGATGGCTTCGCCGATACCTTTGAGAACCAATGAAGGGATGATGGATGTGTAGAGCGAGCCGATGCTGTATATGACAGCCTGCGCGTCGTTCAATGCATTGAGGACCGTTGGGTTCGCGGAAAGCCGGATCTCTTGGCCATAGGGATTGATGTACCAAAGCCTTTCAATTCTGGCTGGCAGCTCCTCTTCATCCGCTTTAGAGAAAGTGATGTACTGCTTTCGAAGAGTCGGTAAAGATCCGGGTAAATTGGCATCCTCGATCCGATCGTGCTGTTCGGTCTCGTCGATTGTTGGTGCACCTCCCGATACCAGAGCTGTCGATATGGAAGGGTGTGAGATGGAGTTCTGGCCGGTGATGGTGTCGCCGTTTGCGAGGCTGACTGAGATGTGATGTGTAAAGTTGGTGTTGATCGCGGGTAAGACGGATGTGTGACTGGGTACAGAACATATGCTGGAGAGTAGGTAGATGGCTGACTCAAACGAGCCAGTGAAGAGTCGAGCGCTGTAACTGTCAGCTTCGAGAATTTTGATGCCGGTAGGTGCGCTGAAGAGGATACGCTATGATAAACGTGACAGAGACAATGAAATCGGGATTTGATCAATCACATGGATGGGGAAAAGCGCAATGCTGTAGTGCATCAATTACATACCCTGTAAGAAACAAGTTACCGATACTCGCACCTGAGAAGTCAAAACTCGATGAGGGCCGGCGACGCTTGACGATCTCGTATGCGACAACATTGAGTATCGATCGTATGAGCTCTTTCTTCGCTGTCGAGATATTCGTCCAGAGGGCATGCTCAGCCTCTACAATCTGCAGCCATTCATCTCGAGCTGAAGATCGTTCTTTGGGCAATCTGTGGTTGAAGAAGGTCTTGATAGCTGCTTTCTCGCTGTCATCGTGATCGGGGTCATCCGGGATTAGGCGGACAAGACGACCTAGAAAGGTTAACATCTAGATCATTGTTCTCAAAGAACATTCTCGTACTTCTCACATCACCGATACCTGCAAACGTCAGTGTTGTGTCATTCCTGCCTCAGACGGCGCATACCTGGTCCTCCGAAGACACGTATCAACTCAGACGAGCTGCCGCCGTTATCACTGATAGGGATGACATAGCTCAGCGGGCATCTCTTGTCTTCTCTGACTTTTTTGAACACATCGACTAGATTGTTCGCAGCGCTTCCGCCTGAGAACACAACGATGCCTTTGCTTTTGAGGTTGCCGTTGGACATCGGCGAAGACGGCGTTACGTGGTCGCCGTTAGGCGAAAGAAAGTTCTCGGCAGACATGGCAAGATGCGTGCAACGATGGTTGACCACATGGGTCGTGGCGCGGGTTTATCAAGTCATGGTGATGTTGACAGGGTGTTCGCAAAGGTGGATGCTCTTCCGTGAGCTCAGAATAGCAGAGGCAAGAGTCATGCACTAATCCATTAGGGTGTCACGCGTTACGCGACTAGGCAATATGTCGCATTTTGAGCACAAATTGGCCTAGGTGTTTGATGGAGATTTTGCATTTGTAGTTGATTTGAAATGGAATTTGTACAGAACGAGTCGCCAGCCAAGATGTGGTAGAAGGCTACTCTCCACGCATCCAACCCCGTCGATATTGCGTGCCCATATTCGCTCATCATGGGCGCTGGAAGTAGCGCATGATAGTCTCAGTCCCATTGTAGTTGAAATGACGCTCTGGACAAATGTGCGATGCCCAGTCCCAGCTTCCCCTACCCCTCACACCACAGTCTCTTGCCATTGCAGGCCATGATCGCCTAAGAGGTACCAGCGGCCTCCTCGCGCTCCTTCCTCCGCGCTCGCTTCTCGAGTAGAGCGTCTCGTCGGTCGGCTAGGAGGCGGAATTGTCGGTTCTCAACGCCAGTGAGCCAGTAGCCGAAGCTGCCACCGGCGCCGGCGTAGAGGGGGTAGACCCAGAGGGATTCCTTGTTGAAGAGCGGGCGCATCTCAATGCCGAGTTGCCATAGTCGGGCGGCAACGCCTGGTATATGTCGTCAGTAGAGGCCCTTGGGGTATGCGCGGGCGATTGCAGACATACCGAAACCGCTCCAGAAGAGGATCTTGTGGACCATGGTGAGCGGGTGTAGTTGTGGATGTTATGTCGGTGTAGAAGACTCCTTCTGTGCTGCAGCGGCAATCGGGGCGGGTGTCGTGAGGGCGCGTTGTCACCGCTGTACCAGTACTGGGTTTCTGGGCTGCGATGCTCCATCGTCAAGCTCCGGGAACGCCAAGAACGAACCACCCACGCGGATGCGGAACCAAGGTCCGCCGACCTCACCTCCGCGACAATGCCGCTTTCGCGCCTCTCCTGATATTGTCGCTCACTTTTTAGCTTTCGCTCTACAATCGATTCACTATTCATTCTGAGCTGGTGCACCAGTCTAGCCCCCTACGTCATTTGCTGCTCGCCAGCCTTTCCCACCCCCGTCTCCATGCGCCGGGCCGCGACACAAACGACACAAAACGACAGATCGCAATCACGTAAACTCAACCATGGCGGAAGTTGGCCGCAAGCGCCCAAGTGAAAGCGATGGCGCTGCGACTATGCGCAAAAAGTTGAGGCCATCGGAACTCCCGCTTTCCCAGGCGAAGCGATCGGCCATCGACAGCCTGGTGCACATGTTCCGTAAGAAGGGCGCATACGACGACATACGCAGAGACTTGATGAAGCAATATGTGTCAGGAGTAGGTGGCCAACGATTGATTATCGTTATATGCTAGGCTAACCTTCGCGTGCCAGCCTGCTAAGGATGAATTGCAAGCTGCTCTTAAGGAGCTCGTCGACCGCGAAACCGACCATAATCCCTCGCTGCTGTCCAAGGATCCCCGAATGGCGACTACACTTATAGAAGGCGCGGGCGAGCGCAGCGACATATACGGCAACATTATGAACACGGTCAATACTCTGCTGGACAAACTGATTGACGAGCATGGCGTACCGAAAATGCGCGAGTACCGCATTGCCGAGATAGGCGCTGAGGCGGCTGCAGAAGAGGAGAAGCGAGGCAGTAAGAGCGAAGAGGAATGGGCCAAAGAAGCAGACGCTCGTCGAGAGAAGCGTGAGGCCCGGAGAGAAAAGGAGTTGGAGGCTGAGCGTGAGAGAGAACGTGAGGAGAGGGCAAAGAAGGAAGAGCGCAAGCGCCGCGAGAAGGAAGAGGACGAAGCCCGTGAGAAGGCGCGACAAGAGGAGAAGGAGCGCAGGCGCAAGGAGCGTGAAGAGCGCGACAAGGAAGACGAAGAGCGCCGACGCAAGGACCGAGAGAGAATTGACAAAGAGAGAGAAGAGGAGCGTCTACGCCGCGAGAAGGAGCGAGAGGAGCATGAGAAGAGCCGAGAAGCCCGTCTCAAGAAGATCCGCGAAGAAGACGCTGAGCGAGAGCGCCGTCTTCAAGAGGAGCATGACCGAGATCGCGGTGGTCGCCATCGCAGTGGTCGCGGCCGTAGCAGGACTCCCGATCGTGAAAGGGACCGGCGTGGACGAGACAGGAGCAGGCGAAGGAGCAGGTCAAAGACCAGGTCGCCTGAACGCCGTCTGTCGATCAAGCCTGAAGACATCAAAGTTGACGATGAGACGGCATTGGAGCTCCTGCTACAGGAAAGTGCGGAAATGAAAAAGTCACGACAACGCAGGCCTCTGCTTCCGCGATCAGAATCACTGGAACCACCTATGCGAAAAGCTCAACCTCCCAAGTCGCTCGTTCCCCGCGATCCCGTGCAGGCTCGACTGGCCAGGCTTGACAGCAGATCTGAAAGGTCACCTAGCAAAGACGCAAAGTCCCCCGCTCCAGGCACGCCAAATGCGGCTGCGAAGGACGAAGATACCGCTATGACAGATGCCCCATCAGCAACAGACGCGGACAAGGGCCGATGGGATGGCAAGCGACCTGAATTGCCTTCAAAGCGTGGCAGATCTCCCAGTGTCGCGCGCAGCACGAGGGAGCGTAGCAGAAACCGATCGCAGTCCCGCGGAAGTCGGTACGACAGGCGTGGCTCACGTTTCGAAGACGACCGCCGTTCCCGACGCGAGGATGATAGACATTCCTACCGGCCCTCAAACGACGGTAGACGACGCGATCGCGACGACCGAGATGAGAAGCCGTCCCGTCGCGAGAGTCGCAGCCGCTCACGAGAGACTCACACCAGCCGCCGCAAGTCACGTTATGAAACGCGCAGTCCGTCGCCTCCCCGAGAGGAGCGTCGCAGAGACAGAGAACGT